CACCTGAAGCCCTTCACCTTGTTCATTTGCCAGCAGCAACTTTTAGAAAAAATGTTCTCTTGCCTTCTTTTAAAATTATTAATAAATAATTGGAGCAGGAACTATTCGTGTGCGCCAGCACTGTGGCTCCAGTCCTCGAGTATTTCTGGAAATAGGAGTCAGCAGCTGATAGCACCCACAGGACAGCAGCTGGTTCCCCGTGGCGTGGCTAGGGGAGCTCGGGTTACTTGCCACCCACAGTTTTCCCCCCACGGCTAGGAACTGCACCAGCTGAACAGGAGGCGAGGGGACACGCTGTGAGGACCTCAGCCCACCCGCATCAAAACCAGCTCCAACAGGAGTTTAGCTGGGGGGGGGCAAAAAGCTGGTTTTGAAACAGAGTCTTTCCCAGGTCTCGGAGGTAAGTGCCAGCACCAACCGTTTGAGCAGACCCGCCTGCCAAGGCTGACACCCAAGCAGGTCTGAGCGCCCGGCTGTGCCAGCGCCCAGGCTGGCGAGGGATTCTCTGCGGGCTGCAGGCAGACCCAGCGTCACGCCTGACACCTTCTGGCCTCTCCTCCAAGCCCCTCTCTGCCTTGCAAACCACAGACAAAAAAGGGAAAGCCAGACGAACCCGATATTGAGCACAGGAGTGCCTATCGCACTGCTTGTGCTAATTAATTTGTTAATTAGCTTGAAGTTCTCCCTTATTTAACTCCGAGAAGATGACTTTGTAGTGCTTCACGTCGTAGAGCCCAGCGAGGGTGTTCTTTACTGAAGTCTGGTCAAGGTGAGCACAGAAAACCACAGGGTGTCTGGTCCCCTCCCCTCCTGCCGCTCACAAGGGCTGGGGAAGCGCGAGCCATCGCGGCAGGCTGTGCCACAGGGCACAAGCAAGCTGGAGGGGAGGAGAGAAGGCAGCTTTATTTACCCTAGTGATGCTGAAGCTGCTAGCTCAGAGGGAGGAGGTGGAGCAGGAGGAAAATAAACCTCACACTTCAAAACCATCAGATACTGCTTCAGTAAAATACGAATAGCTATTTTTCTGAGAAACCAAGCAACTGCTTGCAGCGTCAGAGGGCCTCTGACGGCCAGCAGTAAACAGAAATTTCCAACCACAGCCTGGAGTCAGACAGCATTTCCCACAGGCCCCAGGAGTGCTGAGGTCCCAGGTTTGGGATTGATTACTATGAGGCAGAGTGCTACCAAGCCCAAATCTGGATGTCATCTGCACAGAGAGCCTGGGTTCCCCCCTGCAGCTCTAGTGCCCATGAAGGAACAGCTCGAGCCACTGGCTCAGCCTCCCAAAGCACGACTGCCAGGCTGGCATCGCTCGTTCTTCAGTGCCCACTGCAGGCTGAGGTGACCAGCTTAAGATTAGACCGTGACAGTGGAAGCGATTTTAAACTCTCTCCCAACTCTTCCCAGGTACCAGAGAGGCTGCAGGACCCTCCTTGACCACATTCCAGTCAAGCTGTGGACAAGCATGCAGGAGGCAGAGGGGCACTGTGGGGACATCAATATCCTGCAGTGACTGCAGCAACTCTCCCCCTTCCTGAAAACACCAGATCCCTGCCCAGGTATGTACCTGCTAGGCAGGAGAGGCAGGACGGGCCCAGGCCTCCTGCGGTGATAAACATCACCCATTGATTAAATGCGCAGAAGCTACTGAATCATTTCTCCCTCCTGAGGCTCTCGTGCTCTCTTCCTCGTTTAGTGATGCTATTGGACAGGGGGAGTCTAATACACTGCATGGGTCTGACTGTCACCTCACATGAACTGGGAAAGGCACGCTGAAGGCAACAGGAATGAGTTATGTTCACCCGAGACAGACACACTCCTCCAGGCTCCCCGAGGATGGATGCACCATGCCGCTTCCCTCTCCCCCTCCAGTGATATCTTGCTCTCCCCATGTTAATGAGCTGAATACAACATGGATGAAATCCTCTTGGCACTTTCTGGTTTACTATTCCTTTTCTTGAGCACGAGTCGATTGGATCCTTGCTCAGAAAAAATGGGCTGAACACACCATTACTCTGTTGATTCACAGCCGCGCTGAGAAATGCCCCGGGGAAGACAGGAGGAGGAATGCCTCTGGTTAGGCACTGGCGAGCAGAGATATGCCGCCAGCTCAGAGAGCCACAGAGAAGAGCTGTGCAGATCATTGCAAAATTGTATTGGACAAGCTTTCGGTCATCCCACAGCAGCTGTTCCCTTGGTGCGCGCAGGCAGGGCAGCTCAGTATTTTAACTCATGGCCCTATAAAAACGCTTCAAGATCGAGTGCAAAGGCAATTATGCAAAACCTAATTCTGCACCGAGAGGGATTACAGGAGCATTTTATAAGTCACACAGTAAAAGGCAATCAGACGAGCCAGACAGCAGCTCAATTAAAATGACATCTCGCTAAGCTGCTCTGCGCGAGCCGGCCCTTGAATGAAGGCTCGTGCCGAGGGTCTGCCGTAGCAGACTGTGCTTTTTGGTATCCAAGCAACACGGCAAAGCCTGCCCGCACATAAATTACAAGCAGTACCTTATTTCCAAAAGGACACAGGGGAGGGAACCAGAGGTTCACACACACGCAGGGATGCGCAGCTCAGGCGTACATGAAGACACTGGTTGACGCTCAAGAGCGGGTAAGCGCATCTCTTACCTGGTAACGGCCTGGCCTCGGAAAGCAAGTTGCACTGGCCTCACCGTGTCCGCAATCCAGAAGGCAATGCCGAAGGTCAACATCTCACAGCTATGAAAAAAATCAGCAAACTCTTATCTCCCTGCCCCCTGCCACGCACTGTTACAAAGATTCCTCCCAAAATCCCACACGGCACACACGCAGCACGGCACTGTGAGGTTCTGTGCAGGCGCAGGCTTCATACCGGCCACTGTCAAAGCGCACGCGCAGACAGCCCACCCGCCCACCACCGCTGCACTCCTTGGGCGCTCGCACCTCAAGCAAAATACTTCAGTTTCGTATTGCGTGGACCTGTTAAAACGCATCAGTTACTCCACCACCACCACAGCAGATGGTTCCTGTTGTCAGGAGCCTTCCAAAACAGCAAGTAGAAGTCACAGGGGGAGAGACTCATCCCCTCTCCACTGCCTGAGCCTTCTCAAGTAAAAAAAAATAGGAAACTTTCCATAACCCCTTTTTTTTTTTTTAAGCAGCATCTAGAGACAGAAAGATCAATCCAGATCTTAAAAGTCCAAAGAAACTTCAGATGACACCAAATAGGATAATTCATAGCTTTCAACTATTTTACTTCCAACACCACTCAAAAAAAATTTGAGCAAAGTCAGGTTTGAGGCAAGCAGAAAAATCTCTTTCCAAATGAAAATAAAATGGTCAAAACTTCTAGATCAGCAAGAATACTTTGAGGTTATCAAGGTCACCTGTACACCACTGATCACCCTCTGCTCGTGTGGTATGTGGAATAACGGGTTCAGTGCTAGAAACACATCACCAAAAGCCACACTGACCCTGCAGACCAGCATCAACTCCACCTGGTGATTATTTCCCCCGTCCCTTTCATCCCCAGATAGTTTGGGACACAACCCTGACACAAGGGCAAGCACACCAGATCTACTGACATCACTTCTCTTTGTGGGAGGGTGCCGGTTTGAGTCTCTTGCTGACAGCAAGCCCCCGGGACTAGCTGCACGCAGACCCCGCCAGCACACGCAGGGGAAGAGCCACCTCTCCGACTCCGACCTGAAGCCTGTCCCTGGGACGCAGGGAGCAGAGCGCAGCCGCGAGCAGCCCCTGCTGCACACCACAGACCCCCCAGCACAGCAGGGACCGCATCCAGCAAGAGCATCTCACACCCACATTCCCTTCCCACCCCAGAGCAGCCACCCCCATGATGAGCCAACACGGGCGCTACCTGCCCAGTTCTGCCAGATGCTTCGCCCACGAGAGGGGGCAGCAGCAGCAAGCAAAACGCGGCAGAGAGGTTCCAGAAGACTGCTTGCCTCGCGGTTTATTTTGGGTTGGGGTTTTGTTTCCAAAAAAACAAACTCAAACTTGATCAGCTGTGGTAAGACATATCCAGCATACAGTTATCCCTGTAACCCTGGCCTTGCCCCCCCCCTAGTGTTTTAGGATGACGGGGGTTAGTTTATCAGCGAGAACACAAGAGGGTCAAGAAGCAACTGAGCCTCTAAACGAAAATATTCTCGTGTTCTTTTCTGAAACCAAACAGAGAGCAAGCATTATGTTAAGGTAAAGCTTAAATGATTAACTATAATACACGTTTCCACACAAAACAGCTGTGGGCTGAGACACAAGAACTACCATGACTCTGCCATCTAAACATGAGACAAACACAGGACAGAACCTGCGTTCCTCAGGCGTTGCCAAGCTCTGACAATAACTGGCAGAGAAATACTAACAAAGAAAACGGGGACTGTGTAGACAGGTACTTATCTGGGCACTCTGGGTCAGATCCTGACATCATGCAGATCACCAGGCAGGAGGCAAAGTTGGCACAGCAGGAGCATGACACATGTGAACCGGGCACACTGCATCCACGACCCTACTGACAAGCCCGAGCAGTTCGGCAAGTTGCTGATCAATACCACAGCAGTCCCTCGAGCTGCTGGCACTCACCTTTGCCTGAGACCACCTCAAACACCATCCAGGAAGGGCAATACACTGAACAGCTTAGCAGGGGGGAAAGCCACAGGCATGTGAAAGGATACATCCCTAGGATAACTGCTTCAAGGCATTTGATGGGTAAGGACTCCCTGGTCATTTCTTTTGCTGTCTCCATTAACCTAGAACAAAAAAAAAAAAAACACCAAAGTTTTCAGTCCTTTCAGTTGGAGCAGTTGACAGGAATCAAAGGGTCCTCTTGCAGACCAAGAGCCAGACGCCTTCGGTTCTTGTCTCAGCACGCACTGGTGAACTTGATTTTCCTCTTCAGCGATTTGCCAGAGCCCTGTTGACTTCTGGAGGAGGACAAAAAATATTTTAAAAAGTGTTTACCAACCCCCACAGCAGATCCTGAAATCCCAGAGTTAAAAAGAAAAAATACCAGAAGGGGCTAGAAAAGGGCCAGAAGAGTCATATTCAATCACACACACAAAAAGCATCTAAAAACCAAACCAAAAGATGACTTCTATTTTGAAATCTTCCCTATCGGCATCCTTTCCCTGAGAAGAGCTTTGTAAACAGATCCCTACTCTAAGGAAACACAACATTAAATGATAAAAATATTTGTATTAGACAAGATAATGAAAATATGCATCTGAAATCATTAGTTTGTTTTTCCCAATTTCTATTTCACCCACCTCATGCATTTTAAACCTTGTATTGACTGCAAATGGCAATACAGCTGCCACTGCTATTACAGCCTGTCACAGCCATTCCGTGTCCCATTTATCCAAGTTAGAAATTATCTTTTCATTTGTAAACAACCGCCCTTTACACTCTGCCTGCAGTACAGAAGACAAATTAGAGTTAGCCTGCCTCCTACACGCTTACAATCAGCCACAGAAACCCCACTGCTGGAAGCAGGGAGCAGCTCTGGCGAGGGCACACAATGGGGCCCCTTCATCCCCCACAGCAAATCCTCAGTGCCAATTGCAGCAGTGGCCACTGCAAAGCCCCGTCTCCGTCCAGAGAAGTATTACATGTGGACGATGCATGGGAGGTACCCACAAACAGGAACATCCACTGCATTTCCCATCTTCTATCTGCACAGAAGGAGAAAAAGAAAAAAAAAGAAAAAAGTCACAGCTCATTACAAGTGTGTATCAGAGGCAAAAGAAAGCTCCAGTTGCAAAGATATTTATCTTCAAGCCATTGAGCGTGGCATACTCCTGGTTAAAATGGTCCAAGGGAGAGGGCAAACATCTCCTCCCCAAGCCCACACCTCCACTGATGCCGCTGCCGGCAGGCGAACAGGGTAACCACATTGGAGCTGCCTTGTCACCATGTACAGCCTTGGGTCTCCTCACACCTGCTTTTATAAGCGCACTGCTGTCAGGATGTCAAAGTTTTGTCAGCATGGAGATAACATTAACGATCCCACAGCCAGGGAGGGAGCCTTCAAAGTAATTGGCCTAAATGAGCAGTCAAATCACTACCAACTTACCTGTCCCAGCGACGCTCACACTACGTAAATGCTAAGCTGTTTGCAAGCCACTTATGTGCTGGTTCTGAAGCACAGCCCCCCAGGACACTATATGGCTAGTAAGGCAGATTTAAATCTTACAGGAGAGGCATTCTGCTTGCTTGAAAACATGCTGCCTGCTAGTGCATGGGTACCCCAGCTGTCCCTTCTGAGGCTAGCAGCGCCCCTCCCTTCCCTCCCCACAGCATCATCAGATAGCTGGACTCAGAAGGGACCCCGGGAAGCCCTCCTGTCCCACCTCCTGCTCAAAGCACCCCCATCCAGGAGCTGCAGAGGTGCTCAGTGGCCACCCGGGACCTGCCAGTTCAAAGACGGCCACAGGACCATGAGGGAGGGCGGTGAGGACCTGTGCAAGGGGAGCATCAGCCAAGCAGCATCACCAATGATCAGTGATCAGACATCCATCCGCACCTATGGAGCGGGTCATGCCCTCACACACACCGATCCTAGTCCTGGGGAACACCCTGCAAACAGTCTGCTTTTTCTGTTTCCAACACAGGCCACAGGGTTTATGCAGATGACCCAGTTCAATAACCACTGAGAGTGTATGTCTTCCACTTTCAACAAGCTTAAGATGAAGCGTGGCCTTAGACCTGTTTGCTTTGGAAGCAAAGCCTCTGGAGAAACCCCAAGCCACCGCTCTGCCCAAGGTAGCCAAAGCCATGTCATTCCTCACAGATAATTTTCCAACCTACTTTTAACTGGGTTCTCAAAGGCTCAGGAGCCCAGCAGTTAATCTTACACTTCACCTTCCATCTAAGAAGGTCCCCTAATGTTTAAACTAAATCTTTCCTTTTTTTGCAATTTAAATCAGAAGCTATTTCTGCTATCCACAGTGGGCACCAAGACCATTTATTATCTCTCCTCTTGCTACCCACATCCATATACACGACAGGCTGTAATCTACCCTGTCCTCTGTAAACAGGAGAAAGCAGACAGTTTTTTCTTTTCACTTGCCACCACCTCCACCCTCTCTCATCTCAAATCTTCCTTAGGTCATGTTTTCTAGACCCTGGGCAATGTTTGTTGCTTTCCTTTTGGATTCTCTTCAACGGACTCGCATCTCATGGTCCTTCAGCTGAGCCCACCCCGCCAGTACAAACAGACCAATTTCCTTCTGAATCCAATTTCCAGCATAGTTTTGCTACCAACCCAGTGGGGTTTTTTTTGTTTGTCTGTTTTTAAGATCAGCTCCATCTGTGCAAAACTAGCCTTTCACTCTCCATTGTGTATTCCCACAGCTGACTATTCCCAAATCCCTTCTGTGTATTTGCCCTAACTCATACACCTCCTGTTTGTTCCACCCCAGCTCCCTCTTACCCCTTGAGACCACTCTGAATCCCAATTCCACTTGCAAAGCCTTGTCACCTTGTCCATCCCAGACTGCAAAGTACATCTATTTGCAAACAATTAGTCTTATCCATACCATTAATGAAAAAACATTGACCTGGGACAGAGATTGCCGACCTGAACGGACAAACTATGCTAGGCAAGAGCAAGCTGTTGGTTAAGTACCACTTCCTAAGTGCTGCTTTTCACCAGGTTGGGTCCTCATGTCAAAACGGTTTCATTGAGACCCAAGGTCCCTGCCTTACATGGAGGCTGCCCAAAGCCATACAAAGAATTATCACAACCACAACTTCTCCCTCCTTGACAAAAGATCTGACACTGTCATAGAAGGAAGTTATCAGAACGGAACCATTCCAAACCAAACTCATGTTGCCTATCATGTACTACCTTGCTGTGTTCCAGACACTTGATTATGTGCCCTAGCATTTTTCTGAAACTGCAGATAAACCCAAACAGTTCCTAGGCTTACCTTTTTCTTCGTGGTTTGTTTGTTTGTTTGGTCTTTTTGTGTGTTTTTTTTGTTTTGGGTTTAAGACTTGTACCTTTGCTACCCCAGTTTCCAACAAGAGTACACCCTCTAACAGAGGTATTAATAGTTTGGAGGTTGCCAATTCTTTAAGACAGCATCTAGTTCATTCGAAAACAACTAATTGCAAGTTCTCCTTTCCCTGTTCTCTTTCACTCCTGAATTCTTACCATGCTGTCTCAAACGTTAATAGTGACCAGAAAGGCTGCACCATGAAACTTGTGAATGAATACTTAAGGAAGAGGGGGCAGGAGAATTAAAAAACAGCATCAAGCATTGCAATACCCTGCCTGAGCAGGATTTTCTTTAAATCTTTCCAGTTATCTGAACAGACTACACATACATGATACTCTAACACAGCATTTTTCCACCTACTATCACAGTTAACTAGGAAACCAAAGCCACCCCCTCCACAGACCCCAGTGAGCATGGGAGGAACCCATCTCTTCCACTAACTTGGGGGAGACTTCTACAGTCAAAAATAAGCACACTGAAGCTTCCCTCTTTGTGGTGTTTACACCGCTGTCTGAAGTCTGCCAGGCAGATGTCTACTCCAGACCACAGTGAACGTTCCTGCCTCTAACAGACAGGCTGCACGCTCCTCCCTGGAGATCTAGTCCTGGGCAGATGGTGATATTTCCTTGTAAATTGAATCAAATTTCTTTTAATGTTTCCAGAAGCCCACCTGGATTATCTCCCTTGCTTTCTGCACTAAGTGAAGGCCCACAGAGGAGATGGGTTTGCATCTTTTGGATGGTTTCTGCTAAAAATGGCAGCAACGGCAGTCATCTCAGGGAAACCATTAATTCCTTTTGCACCCAGGTTTTTCACTGGGGCACCCAATCCCATATACAGGTTAGAAAAAGCTTCAAACCTTTTAGCATGCCCAAAGCCGGAGGATCTCACCAGCTGGCATCCATCATCACGCTAGAGTAATTTCAGAGGTGACCATGCTTAGGATGAAAGGCTGCCCACTACCTTCACCAGAAAGACTCCTACAAACTTCAGTAAACTCTGAATTAGAGAGACCCTCCAGCCCATTTTCCACTAAGTTTCCCTTCCCTAGGCCTCAGTATTTGCATGAGGTCTGTCAAATCTCCCTCTCCCAAGATTTTCTAAGGCTCCTGACAGTTTCATGCTTCCCAGTGAAGCAAAGCAGGAAGCAAAAGGTACCAACTGGAGTAAAATGAGATGAAACAGCAGAGCAGCTACTGCTCTTGTCAATCTTCTCAAAACCAGTTTGCTTCAATAGCAAAAGCATGTCTCTCACATGCTGAACATAGCGCCATATCTGTAATGTTCTCTCTTTGTGCAAGAGAGAAGCAGATGCTCAAATGCCTTCTGCAGTCTATTGTCTGGAAATAGTATGAGCCCATTTTTCTTTACAGCCCCACCAGGGTTCCTTAATAACATGTTGTGTTGAAACATTATTATTTTTCACTCTCCCCCCACCCTTCGCTGTTATCTGCTTACATCGTTCCTGCATGACTGCTTCTATCGCAATTGATTACCCATTACATCTGCAGTCACTGAATGTGTCTCCATCTCCACAGAGCAGCTTCTGAGCTGTAATTTCCCCAAGTCCCCAGAACCTACCCAAACGTCACTTTTTGCTTCAGTCGTAAGTCCAGATCAAGGGGCACTTAACCGGAAGGAAAAGCACAACAGCACATGTCGCTACAACCTCCCCAGATACTCTGTGGAGGACAGAGATACCTGTTCCTCATCGTGGCTCATGCCTGCATGCTAGAACAGAAGCTTGCAGAGGGCTTATCGCTTCTTGTAAAGCCAGTAATAAAAGTTTGTTGGCATTGAATGCACAGTTTTATTAGATATTACTAGATATCCAGAAATACTTTATTTTCCTTAAAATTCGTACATGATCTAGGCTTGTGAGTTTTAAAGACTTACTATTCTAATTAACAGTGCCATTTTTTTATCAGAATGGTTGTATCAACAAAAGCTGTAATGTAGCTTTTGCCAGCATAAACCTGTATGGGAAAAGGAAAACCAGCTCAATCAGTGCCTGAAACACTTGTAGCGCACACGTACACACATGACATCCCATGGATCAGTAGAGCTGAACTCCACGGGGTGCCCTTTACCTCCCCAGTACAAAAGGGCACACCACAAAGCCTGTGTAAAGGACGCCATCCCAGGTCAGGATACCTCGTACGCTCTATTAGCAAAGCACTCCTACGGTGGATGTGGTTATACCTGTAAATCTGGATTATACGCGAATGCAGCAAACTCGGGCCAGGTAAGATGCATTTTCAGACAGTTTGCCAGTACAACAGGAACACCACACGCAGTTTGCAGGATCACATCTCTACCTCCCCAACTCACACAACTACGCCAACAGAAATCTAACGTTTTCTGAAGTGTTATCCGTAGTGCAGACAAATCCACGGGGCGTCTGGCAGTCTAGAAACAAGCTGATGCTAACAGTGACTTTCTTAAGGGATTGTAAATACTGAATTATGGCAAGCCTGTGTCGCTTAATGTTATCAGTTCCTATAGATAATTTATGCTCTTCTTCCTAAGCACAGCCAGGCATTTTTATTTTCTCATGCATCACACCAATGCTGACAGTAAATCTCTATAATATCTAGTCCTCCCTCCATAATAGCAACACTCATTAATATGCCCCAGCTGCTTTAGGACACTTTCACATGAATTTATGAATATTCAATTTCCATCTAGTGCTCAGCTTCTTTGTGTCCAGCCACTGCACTCTTGAGGAGAGGCTGCCAAAGATCTCATAATCCTTTCATTAGCTCTGAGCCCTCACATTATGAAATAAGCAATATGTTTAATATCAATAAGTCACAGCTCTGGGAATAGCCTCAACTTCCAAGAGCTGGTGGCAACTGGAGGTGCTCAGCATCTTGCTCGATCCCCTTGAATATACAAACTTTGTCTTGCAGCAAGCGAGGCCTTTCACACCACTGACACCTGCTCAGAGCAGCGCTCATCACCTCAGCACAAGGTGCCTGTTGTTGCAAGAAATCTGCTTCCAGTATGGCAAAGTGGAACACACCTCCCAGGAAAAATCTTGCAGGGGTGGGTGTTTTTTCAGCTCTGATGAAAACTGCCCTGGCAGCAGCAGAACAAATCAGCAAGGACAACTGCAAGAGAAGATATCTTCAGCGGGTATGAGCAGCCATGCACCCAAAGCCCTTCAGGTCACCTCAGAGTTACAGGGTGATCATACATCATTCCCCTTCTCAAAGCTGGGGAAACCAAGGCAGGGCAAGCACTCGAGCGCTGCTGCAGTACGACAGGATCTGGGCAGCCAAGTGCGCTCCTAACAGCTCCACTACTCCTAGCGCTCCCGTCCATCCGATCACAAGCACAGCAGCACAAGTCCAACATACACCAGGTGCAGGCAACTGGGCCTGGCAAGCTGCAGGAGCTGCCCCAGGGGTTGGACTGTTTCCAGAGGCATACTCCTTAACTCTGCGGAAGTCCTGCCACCACACAGTGAGTCACTCACAGAAGTCCTACCAACAACAGGACACGGGGAGAAGTCAGACATGAGCCCCCAAGCAAACACTAAGGCAGGTAGGTAAATAGAGGAAATTGCACCACTTCAGAGAGGATTCAAGCCACCAGTGCATCTCCAGCTGTGAGCACTATACTGGTTCCCCTCCAGAATGAGTACCATCCTCACAAGCCAGGCTTTCATCCAGCCCAGGAGGATGCCGACCTTTTAAGTGGTGTGAGCACAATTCATTTTCATCCTCCACTTCCTTGGAAAAAGGTAATGGGACAAGTTTAAAAATGAGTGACCAGCCTGAAAATTGGTTTAAGCTTCTGTAAACCCATCTGTCATTCAAAACACAAGATTTCTTCTAAACTAGTTCCACTGGTGCAGCAAACATTACATAGAGAAAGGAAGTGGGAAAGATTGCTGTCAGCAAGTTGAAAGCCTGAAGTGCAGAGTTGGGATGGGAACTGGAATTTACAGTGATGGACCATTAGATTAATGACAAGACAGCTGGGAAGAGCTAGAGACAGGCCAGTCTACAGGAGTAATTATATTCTGCTTATCTAAATTTCACCCTAAAACAAAAGCATAATGCGGTCAACATCACTTCCCACCCTAACCTGATAATTTACTGGATCCTATTACAGAGCTGTCCTAAGCACGATGTGGTTCGTACATGGAAGGGATCGCAGCTCCCTGTTGCCAGGCTCCCTGCACACACGTTCATACTCGTATTGCACAGTTCATCGCCAACCAGCACGAGTCCACCACACGGAAGGAACAGCACGATGAGCGGCAACAGGAAAAGCACAGCCACAAATTAAGCAGTCCGTTGTGATTCTCCAGGGGAAAGGACTGTGCCCAAAATGTCAAAATTCCTGAAGCATTTTGCATGGCTGATCTCTTCCCACCATCAGCAAAGGGCATTACAGCACAACCAGAGTATCAGGAATACACATACAAACACAAAACCAGCCCAGCCCTCTCAACCCAGCACCAACAAGCAAGAACTGAGAGTTTTCCCAGCTCTGGCCTGCAGCTACACAGCTCCCACACGGATGCTGAGCAAGACCAGCCCTTCCACTTGGATCTCAGTGAGCCCACCTGGCAGCAAGCTGGGGCCCTCCTGGCAAAGGCAGCAACATGCAGTTTTGGCCCTGCCAGAGCAGTTGTGTCACAGAAGAAAGCCCCCCGATGCTATGGTGCTACAGTGCTTCATGCCAGCTGGTCACCCTGGACATTTATGTGGGATAAGGGCACTAGGCCACTTCCACAGACACTTACCCACTTAGAGGTCTGGTTTTTCTAATCTCGAAGAACTGTGTTCCTGTGTGATTGTATCTGAATTTTGTCTGTTAAAGGAAAGTAACATGAACAGTCAAACAATAAAATACAGTACTCAAAAGGTGAATTTCAGTTTTGAGTTCCTCTTGAAACATAAACAGCAAAAGCCATTGACTCTCAGAGGTGTGGCATGTGAAATACAGCCATTTTTTCACCTGCCTTTTTATATGACATACTAAAAACAGCATTAGGTGGAAAGTCAAGTAAAAAGGTTGATTGCCTAAAATGACACTTAAACTTGGCATTTGAAGGTTCCAAATTCTCTTTTCCTCTAGGTCCCACTCACTATGAGGTTACAAGTTTGAAAAAAAAAAAAAAATCTCCCATTTGGGCAAGAGAAAGCTTTTATAGTCTACCCAAACCATTCAACATAATTCTTGGTTTGAAAGAACTTATTCCCTTCGTGTTTAACTCAGACACATAGATCATGTCCCACCTGTCAACCAAAAGCACGGCAGGTGCATCCATTCACATCCTGGAAATATAAAGCTTTCTCTATAAAACTACAATGCACTTGGACTGGAAGTTAACTTAGGCTTACCAGTTAAGCGTAACTCAAGAACACTAGTTAACAATATGAGCACAAGAGAAGTCCATCACAAAGGATGCCAGCAGACGATCACCCAAACCTCAGCACCACTTGCCAAGGAGTGCCAGCTACCATGCAGCAGCAGCAGCACCTAAAGCAGCCTCCTCCCTGCACCCTGAACATAGGTGTTGAAGCAGCAATGCAGTAAATCAGATCAGGAAACCGATCTGTCCAGTAAAAAGAAAAAACCAACAAAATTTAAAAAAAAAAAAATCACCCCACCCACGTTTTGCTAAGTTATTTTGCCAGCTGAATCTGTTCCCCAGCCTAGCTCCCAACACAGCCACAAGAATATTCACACTAACAAAACTGTGGTGATACCAGGGTAGAAACAGGTGACCCCACGGAGGCAAAGGGTACCTTGCAAGGCATAAATAGCACAGCTGCTGGCTGTATAACCACGCTCTAAATAAAAACTCCAGCTCACACCAGGATGCTCTGAACTCACTTCAGTTGGAGTTCAGAGTTCTCCGGAAACCAGGTTTTGCTTCCCTCTTGCCTTCAAAACTAATTCACAAGGTCCTTTCAGAGTGCTCTGAACAAAGCACATAGCCTCTCTTAGCCCTCAAAGGAAGCCAAGACCCCATTCCCCAGACCACTTTGAAGTTTTTCTGAACACAAATCCAAACCCTCCGCCTGAGGCCTGCTCCTGCCACATAGCAAAGCACAGGATTTCAAGACCACTGGGCAGGCGTGTCCAGAAATAATACAATTTTTGGAGCTGTGTGACGTGGTCCGTCCCCCCCTCCCGGCACAACCCCATTGAGCAGCGAGCCTCTTGTCCTGCCGAAGCCGCCAGCAAAGAGCAGAGACGCACACCATCCCCCTGCAGAGTAGGCTGGCCCCAGCCCCCTCCCCACAGCAGCTGCGGCAGGGCTCCAACTCCTGCTGCTGCCTTGATCCCAGCCGCTGCTCCCCAACAGGCTAACCCAGCCTGCTATTTCTGGATGATCTTCCAGCTGCCACCCATATCCCTTCTTAATCCTTACCAGGACTTTGCATTCATTCCTCATCCTCACTGCTTCCCGCACACACACAAAAAGGGAGAGTTTAGAAAAAAGGAAAACTAGCAGCATCTGGGCCAGCAACCGTCTCCTCCACGGACAGGAGCAATGGAAACAGTCAGGCATTAGGCATGGGGCAACGATAGGGAGGCCGTGTAGATGTGTACACCACTGATGAACCCCCCCAAGTGAGGTGGGACATCTGGAAGGGAGGATTCCTTTGGTCAGCTCCTGAGCCATGGGTAAGCCTGCGCATCTCAGAGTCAGGAGAGCTGCTTGTGCCCCCCAATGACAAGTACCCCCAGCAAGGTGAGCATATAGGCAGCCTTCAGGGAGCCCACTGGGGCTGTCAGGGCAGAGGGAGAAAGGGTTTGCTGCAACACCGTCTCTCTTAGTCGCTTTATGACACGATGCCATATTATTTCTCCAGGCATCACGATCCGATCATAACATCCTCATAAACCAACTTCAAAATAAGCATTTCTACTCCCACGAACGTCACACTCCAGTTAAATTCTTCAGTATCATTTAAAGTTAATTACATCTCCCAGAGGATTGTTGTGACAAGCTCAGTGCTGTAGGTGCTATCTCAAATCCTTAGAGGCATCCTTTTACCCCAAACGATCCCAAGGCCTCACAACCAGCTAGTGCTTCGGTAAAGCCCCCGTTAATTCATGCCAGGCACAAGCCAGCCTTCTCTCCAGAGACCGCACGCTGGAGAAGGATACTGCAGCATCTTCATGTAAGTCTGTATTGCCTGGAGCCATTCTGGGATCGACATGGAGAGCTTGTAGTTTGGCACTGGCGGCACTGAGGGCTGGACACAAGAAAAAAAAGATAAAGAGGTTAGACAGTTACTGCTCCCTGCAGAGAGGATAAGTGATTTACTTGGGCAGCGGCATGCGCTTAGCGTAATGCAACGCGGCAGCACAGATGGCTCAAACTCCACGTGAACTCAAGCATCAGGCAAAGTCATCCCACTGACAACGGGGGCTGCCCATGCAGCGGAGCCAGCCTCATTCGTGCTGGGGTGGGGAGGCCAGGGCAGGTGCCCGCCATGGCAGGCTGCTTGTCACAGCCACCGCCATCCCTCTTAACACTGCCCGAGGTGGGCTGGCAGTCCAGCACAGAAGAAAAACACTTCCCATTTTTCCCCTCTAGCACAGGGTAGTTTGGATGAGCAGTTCCAGCACTGGCTCTGCTGTCTTCCCTCCCCTGAGTAGCCATTTCGAGGCTAATTTTTGGTCTCCCCTGCCACAAGAGAAAGATAAAAGGACACAAGTATCCTGGCCTGCCTAATTTCCCATCTGCTGCATATCAGCAGCACATCTGCTGGGCAGGGAGTGCGTGATACCTAGAAGACCACCTGGCACCCAGATATTTAATGATATTAAGACACTTAAAGATATAGACTGGCACCATAATGGGATTTTTCCAAAATCCCATAAGACATATGCTTGTGCCGAAGCACTTTAAGAAGCTGGGTCCTCAATCCATATTTAATCCCCACAGCTACATGGCTTCTGAGCCTGTAGCCACGCAGGAAAGGGGCAACTCTTGTCCCAAATCCCCTTATTTTAGGGGCAAGTCCACCAAATACAGGGTCAGCATGTGTTAAAGCATGCAGCATGGCTAAAAAAAGTAAGTACAACTCACACAAACATAATCCAGGAAACAGTTTATTTAAATGCTAATGCAGACCCAAATTCAGGAACCAGCAACTTGGGCAACCCTGAAGATAGGCATAAAGCAAATCATGTGGTGTCTGAGGGCCCATAACGTCATTATAATAGTTTGAAGAGTGTAAAGTGTAATATCACTGCCATAAAGACACTCCAAGTCTACAGTTACACATAAGGAAAGCAAATTCAGGTGGTATGGGGCCATCTCTGCCACACAGACTTCCCTCTCCGGTTTCCACCTCCACCACAATGTGGGGATTGAGTGGTTGCTTTAAGGGGGCCGGCACCAATAATCCCAAAATGACCAAAACCCAGCATTTACTACATTCAGCTGGTTAATAGAGTAAATACACCTCAGAGAAGGGGAAAAATACAACCAAGACAGAGACTCCTACATCACTGGCAGACAGCAACGTATTTTGGGCGGGAAGGAGACGGCTGGCCAGGCCTCCAACACGCTGCCGCCATCCCCAGCGCCACACGGGAGACAGCCGCTCACACACAGGCTCTCTCTCCGAACAAGTGGGAGTTTCAAGCAAGATTCATTAATGCCTCTTAATCACAATTTCCACACCCAACCTCTTCATTAGAGGCAATTTTTCTGTTTCACAAGCTCCTTCCACCCCTGGCCCCTTTGGTCTGGATGAGTTATTCATCTATCCCTCCTGGCCCTAAGGCAGGCCTGGACTCAGCGCACCAGACCAGGCTCCAGTTCAGGAGCAGCAAGGGGCTGGAAGAGGGAATTAAGGCACGCCTGCCAAATCCTCCCCCAACATAAACACTCCTTTACTTCAAAGATAAAAAAACACTCTAGGTTCACGCATTACGTGTACACGACACGCCATGCCAAGGCAAGGGCTCCCCAGTCAACAAGATGCCTGGCTGCTGCAGAGCTGACAGGGGTTAGCAGCCCTTTCCCAGCCCTCCATAAAAATGGAGGACTCTGCCCTCAGCCAGCTGTGGGGTGGGGCAGCATCCCAGAGGGACTGCACGACTGCAGAGGGATACAGTCACACTCGGCACACAACCCACAGCCATCACCCCCGCCACGGGTGTTGTGTTTGGGCCTCCAGGTGAGGTGCTTCCCTGCCTCCAAGGCAGGATTGTCATGTCAGCCACCAGGCCATGATCAGCTGAAGAGAACCAGGGTTTTCCCAACGGCTGATGCATATCCCATCATCTGTCTGTTGAAGTTACCGCGGCAGGCCTGCCAGGCCCAGAGGCACCTCTGGACCTCAGGCAATGAGGGAGAAGCGGCCATCGGTCCTGCCCCATGCAGGACGATACACTGCTCTCTTCCCAGTGCTGGGCAGGCAGTATGCAACACCATGCCACCAGCCAGTCACCTGCTGCTCCCACTCCCTCCAAAGAAAACCCATCTTTCCCCCAGACTCCTGGCCCGGCTGCAGGACACCCGTGCTGGGTGCCCAGCCAGCATGGAGCAGAAGCCAGGGCTGCACGATACCACCAGCAAAGGAAAACACAACGTCGCTGTGGTTGAGGCTGCAGCCACCAGTGCACATCCCAGCACAGCAGCCAGGAGCCGGCGAGGGTTTGCAGTGGGAGGCTGGAGCTCCCGAGAGGAAATGCAGACACAGCACTATAGACGATGGATTTATAAAGCAGTGAAATTCAGAGACTAGGCAGCTGAAAGAGCCTTGACACAGCATCAGTATTTCCAAGCAGTGGCAGCTCCAGAGACAGCAGAGCTGCTGCAGCGCAAGACCTTGTGGCAGAGCTGGAGACCATCATTCTGTGGCTTTAAATGCTGTAGTCTCAGTTCACCACAGACATCCTGTGTAAAATTCATCTTGCCTGACTCCAGTGTGTCTCATTTAATGACCAGAAAGTCACTTTCTGCTAGCTCACCCTGCAAGTACAAGATGAAGCTAGCAGGCTAGAGACCTCAAAGCTGGTGAGAGGTTTAATCCATTAATATCTTCAAGTATCTTCGAGATCATGGGGCACAGAATTGCACAGCCTTCCCAAACCAGGGGTCTGAACCCTTCCCAGAGCTCAAGCCAAAAGCTATAGGTGCAACCAAGGGACCCCTCAAGTTGTGAAATTGCTCCCCTTGCCAACAAGCCACCTTCCCCCGAGGACTCATTCTCCCAGAAGAGATGCAGCCCTGCACCCCTGCAGTCTGCACTTGTTCCAGGAAGGACAACCTCACCATTACAGTAAGAAGCTACTTACCGCCCTGCGTGTACGATTGCTGAGACTAATACCAAGATGATTAGAGCAATCAAGTGGAGCTCCTTGGGAAGGGGATGAAAACTCTCTCCCATCACTAAGGATTAAGAACAGATCAGATGCAAAAATGGAGCAACTGCACACACTGCTTGCTCCACCTGCAGCAACTACCAATGCAAGTGGATTACAAGCCATATTCTCACAGGCACAAGTTTCTCTCGTTGCTCCCAATCAGCACTACCTGATCTTTTGCAAGGTGCTGCACATCCAGCAGCACAAGCCAATTAAAAAAGCTGTACCATCATTTAAGGAACAATGCTGCCCTTGCCTTCCTACTGCGACCCAGACCTTACCATCACAACTTCAGCAACCCACCACCACTTTGTAGCAAACAAACCAGCTCCTACCCTTCATTTACCCACCTGAGCTGTGTTAGCCTCAACAAGGACCAGGTGGCCCTCAAACTATCCTCTGACCCAGGCTTAGCCAGCAAGAGCCCATTAGCTACAGGGACACCAGGCCCTTCTGCCCTTGAAGAAGTTAATCACTGCAACAGAGAGTTTGCTGCCCAGTCGTGCTGGAAGAACACAGTAGAAACTTTTACAGCACCTTCCACTGATCAGCAACCAGTAACTAACATCAAATGCCAAGCAGATTTCAAAGCATCTTTCCTCTACCCAGCTTCAGCACGTGCCACACCAAGTCAGCTTCCTGTTCCGGCACTGAGGAAAAAGCCGTGGGCAATGCTCTCCAGGGTGCTCCAGCGGGCAGCATGCCACCGTGCTGGAGGCACCAGCCTGTCTCTCACCACATGCTTGGTCAGTCACCACCGGTATCACCAGTAAAAGTCACATGCTTTGGAGCTGAGAAGTAAAGGAAGGAAATCAAGTCCCGCATGTGCTCTGCTGTCTCATAACACCCAACAGATCCGCAAGCAGTTTAGACTAGCGTAAGCTGGTCACACTGTTGAAACGAGAAATTCGGCTCTATCCCTGCCCCTTCATTTCTACCTCAGGCATTTATGAGGTGAACCACACCAGGGAACTGCAAACAAATCCAGCAAAACCAGATTATTATTTAGCTGGATCTGCTCCCTCCTCCAAACAAAGGCTAATCCCAGCACGAGGTAAGCAAGGGAATGGAGACTGCCCCTTTTGCAGTTATGCTGGAGGGGGATAAAAGGCCTTTTAAGCCTGTATCTTGTTTGACAAGCCCCTTCACAAGACAGCACTACTCAATATACCTGCAACTTCTTTCTACCCCACGTAAAGAACAAGCATACACATCACGGACAGCCAGGACTGAGACAACACCAGCCCAACCATCCCACCCCAGCGCGCAGAGGGGGAGGAATCAACACCCACTTCAGCGGTCAGCTCAGACTTGTGCTGCTTGGAAGGAGGAGCAAACCAAGCTCAAAGTCTGCCAAAGCCGACAGCGTTAAAGACATTGTGATCAGTAATGCAGCGCAGTGGTGAGAAGCCTTGGAACATCAGCAGACAACAATGTTTTATTTGTTGGCTGGAGGAAAAAGAAAAGATTGGGGTCAGGCAGAACTGTTTGGAGCTTGTACCGAGGAACGTGCAAGACAAAAGCGTTTGGAATCTTTCCATGTACTGGAAAGGAACCATCCGAGTTTTAAATCCCTTATTCCATTTCAGGAGCAAGGCTGTGTTTGAGGAAATGCCTGTGTTCCGAAGAGCTGAGCAAAACGTGCTTCAGACTGCACAAAGCGCTTCATTCAGTCCCTGAAGATTTATTTTAATATTTGTTTTCGGCTTTTTTCTCCCCAAGATAAAAAAAAAATAATTTTCTTCCTACTTCTTTCCCAAGACACCAACTCCAGCTCCTGAGCACGCCGCGGCACACCCCCCCCGTAGAATCAGAGAACGGTTTAGGTTGGAAGG